CTGTAGGCATAGGGCGAGGCATAAACGCCGCTGGTATAAGCTGCGGCATAGGGCGAGGCGTAAACGCCGCTGGTGTACGCCGATGCATAGGGCGTGGCAGCCACATAGGGGGCGGCAGCGCTGTAGGCCAGGAACTGAGGCTTGGCGGCAGCCAGAGCGACGACGGCGAGCAGGCACAGAGCGAACTGAAAGAGAGGCAGAGAGAGAGAGAGAGAGAAAAGGCAGTTAGCATTAGTTATCTGTTGGTTCATGAACCAGTGGCTCAATTGAGCAGCTGCCAGTAAAACGTTTGCGAATGCATAACAAAGCAGAAGATAATCCTCTATTTTATGACGCTTCATAATTGCAGTGAACCAGTTCTATTAACCAGTTCACTTAATAGGCTCATCAAAGCTGTTCCTTGCTGTTGTTTCAGCTTGAATCTGGTTCCATACTTTAATCAACTGAACTGATTCATTTGAATAATAAAAGTATGCAGATGTATAGGGAGCCAGTTCCACAGAACTATCTCTATTAATTAAGTCACTTATTGTACTTTACTTTATTTACGATTAAAATTTTGGTTAAAAGAGCATGTTCCGAGAACTAGTTTTATTATTTAATCAGAGAACTAGTTCAATTATTCAATCACTTTTTGGCAAAGCTTGAATCTAGCTTGAAGCTAGATCGATATTTTTATCACATCAAACAGATTTATTGTCCTTGTTGATTAAGGGACTTTGTTACAGAGAACTAGTTCCATTAATCAAATCACTTTTTTAGTTCTATGTTGTTTTAACTTGGACCAAATCGAATCACTGAACCAAGAGAACTAGTTCAAGCTAGTTCCATGTTCTTATCACATTGAACTGATTTATAGTGCCTTTTAAGGACTCTGTTCCAGAGAACTAGTTCCATTAGTTTATCACTTTCTTGACTTGCTGTTTTTTTCTCAGCTTGAAGCTAGTTCGATATTTCGATCACATTTGAACTGATTCATTCGAGTAGTTCTTATTGTCCTGTTCACTGGTTTTGCTTTTGATCTACTTACAAATTTGAACATCTTGAGCTGAGGGTGGGTTGTTGTTGCTTGTCGATAACAAACTGATATGATTTACAAACCCGAATAGTTGTCGCTTTTATAGCAAAAGTTTCAAAGACGTCAGAAATCGGATAGAATCGGCCACAGCTAGCGACTGACCCTGGCACGTTTCAATGGATGGATTCGGCAGCTCGTTTTATTTGATTTGTTTTTCCCTTTTAATTTAGCTTTGGCCCAATGTTTGTGGGCTTTATGAGCGTCTTGGGGCGTGCGCTGCATTCCTAATGGGCGGGCGTGCGTTTTATATTGTTTACCTTGGAGGCGACCCCCCACAAAAAAATATAAAAAAAATCGGAAGTAATCAAAATAACCGAATGCTGCATTTGTGGGCCGCCGGCAATGTTAATTTGCTTGGGCCATGAACAATTATTGTGCGTTTCGCCTGTTGCCAGGCTAATTCCTGAAGGTCCATTGTGAAGGTCCTTTGTGCCGCCGGCAGCTGCTGGAAAAGCTGGAAAAGCCAAGCCATTGTCGCTGCATTTTCTTCTAAAATATACATATATATATGTCAATTTGTCAAGTTGTTAAATTAAGGCAGCTTGGCGGCTTCGCCCTGCTCTGGCTTTGTCTTAGCCGTGGCAACTGCTGCTCCAGCTGCACATTTTGCATCTGAAAATCCGACATAAATTAAGCTGCATTTGAGCGGGCGGGCGTCATTTGTTTAGCTGGCAGATATTTCAGTGTCTGCGGAATGAACGATGTCGCTTTGTCAAGATTTTATAGTTAATTTTCCTAAAGAATGGCATCTAGGTTATGGCGGATAGCTTAGAACAGATTGCATAGCTTATATGAAGTATTCAAATTGTAATTCCTAAGTCAAGGCAATAATGAACCAGTACCAGTTCGCTACTTGAAGGTTATTTGAAAAGATCGCATAGCTTTTATTAAGTACTACAGCCAAAGCTAATATGAACCAGTATTAGTTCACTTGTTGAATGTAATTTAAACAGATTGCTTCGCCAAATATGAACCAGTACTAGTTCGCAGCTTGAGGAAAATTTGAACAGACTGTATAGTTAAAATGAACCAATACTAGTTCGCCATTCATTGGTAATTTTAAAAGATCGCACAGCAAAATTGAACCAGTACTAGTTCGCTGCATACAGATAACTTCAACATATTGCAAAAGAAAAATGAACTAGTACTAGAACCACTTACAGATATTTGAACAGATTGCATAGATAATATGAATATTAAAATTTATAAAAGGTATTAAAGTACTAGTTCTTAAAAATTAAGCAAAAATGAACTAGTACCCGTTAGCTGCCAGCAGTTAATTTTTAACAGATTGCATAGCTGATATGAACTATTTTATTTGTAATTCTCAAAACAAAGCAAATATGAACCAGTACCAGTTCACCACTTGCAGTTAATTTGAACTGATTGCAAAGTTCATGTGAGTATTAAATTTGATTGAAATGAACCAGTACCAGTTCGCCGCTTTCAGGTTATATGTATATATATATTAGATAGCAAAGCTCATATAAACAATCAAATTTTTAGTTCCTTAATCAAAGCATTAATGAACAAGTTCCTGTTTTCAGTAGGCTTTAAAGATATGTGGGGAGTCTCGTCAAAATCAGACTTATTTATTATATAGCTCTCGTGGAAAGCATCGATCTAAAATAGAGTTCTTATATCACATCTTTTAATTTTTTTTAAATTCGTTTTTCCCCGAGAATCCCGACGCCACGTACTTCATCCCACCTCCCACCAAACCGACCGAGGGGGAAATTTATATTTTTTCATATGTATCAAGTTCCTGTCTCTTAATCATGCTATAAAGCTTTTTTAATTAACCTACGAAATGCCTCCACACATCTCCCCCACCCCCCTTCCCTTTGAAATTCATAATTCACTCACTCTCAACTTTAAACAACCCGTACAGTTTTGCAGCCACTGACGTGCTATAAATTTCTCGCATGCTATAGCAAAAGAAATCACAGCCTTACATTAACACAGTCTACCTCCCCCCTCTACCCGATCAAATTCATAATTTACTCACTCAATCTAAGCAACAGTTTTGCAGACATTGCCATGCCATAAATTGCTCGCATGCTATAATGAGACAAAAATCACAACATAAACTTGCTGCACAGCGCTGTTAACGCTGCAGTGACTCTCCAACTGTTGTTATTGTGCGTGCTCTCTCGCTCGCGCACTCTCTTTCGCACTCACAACGCCTGCGCTTTAACATTTGCCGGCATTTTTTCCAAACAATTCCTGTACCGCTCGCGCCCCCCTCCCCTAGCTCCAGCACTGGCGCTTGCTGTTGTGCCTTCCGTTTCCTGTGCTATATGTATACTATATATGGGTCTCTGAAATGTTGTCGAAAATGAAAACAAAAATAAATGCCTTTGCATGTGTGCGAGTGTGTGTGTGTGTGTGTGGGTGGGCCTAAAAATAGAAGCCGGCTATTATGGAATTTGAATTTTTCCGAGTAGTTTTTTTTTTTAAAATGCTTTTTGTTTAGCTATGCTAAAAGATTGCGTATGTTTATGAACATGCGTGTTTGTGTGTGTGTGTGTTATTGTTATGTTAAAGAATTAAATACAAGAAAACAAGGTAAATTACTTTTGAAGTGGAGCAAAAACAACAATAACAACATTTCAATTTTCATTGCTTCATTTGCTTGGGAAATGCTTAAAATGGATGCGGAGGGTGGGGGGGGCAGATGGGTTGGATATGGATAGAGATAGGAATTACGGTACAAATGTATGTATATGTGTTATACATATGTTATTTTTTGTGCCGTTCATTGGCTCATAGCTACATGCGTCTGTGTGTGTGTGTGTAGAGTGGAGGGGGAGCTAGTTTTTATGGGGATTTACGCATTTTAAGTGGAATGTAAATGGCTTTGGTAGAAATTTGTTTAAAGAAATTTCAACATCTTGTTTTTCTCGAAATTGGCAATTATTATTAATACGCCCATAAAAAAACACACTTAACTGTCTCATAAAAGTGTAAACAACAAAATACAGTTATTAATCATTGCCTAATATCAATATAATCTTGGGCAAATCAAAATACAAAATTACTGATAACATTTCACAATCCACAATCATTTCAATAACTCATGAAATCAAAAATTTCATTTCCGTTCAATTCAATTAATAATTTTTATAATTGCTCGACGGCTAATTAAGTCCCTCTCCGTTATTTTCAATTGTTTTTGGTTTTTGTTGTTGTTTTGTATTGTGGGAATTATGTTATTCACATGTCACTCGCATGCTATAAATTGATTCTCTCCCGCTCTCTGGTTTTTCTCTCATACTGTTTGCCGCGCTCAGCTGCTAACGTTGCCACATTGCGCAAATTAAGTGTGTTCTATTTTATAATTTACAAGATTGTTCATTAATTTAAAATATGTATCTGCAGAGAGTAAAAAAATGTGAAGTCTTTTAAAATAAAGTCATTTCATTGCTTTTATAGCCGTTTTAACTAGTTGTGGTTATTCAATGTCCACCTGTTAGTGTTAACATCAACTGAACGTGCAGCTGTTAACTTAACAGACTTACACCGATACAAACGAGCGAGCGGGAGAGTTGTTCTGCATTGAAAACAACAGCAAAGCAGCTGGTAAACACTAACACATACACACGCTTGACTAGAGATGAGCGCTCTGGCGCAGTGACTGCTTTTGAATAACAGCGATTGTTAGAATAAATGCATAAATCTAAAAATATATACAGAGGGTAAATATGATAAAAAGAACGAAAACAAATTATATTAAGAATCTAAATCGTATTAAATAACAAACAGCAAGTCAGTAAGCAGTAATAGCTTACAAAATGTGTTTACAGTGCAAACTGCGACTCATGACTTGTGAAAAACAACATGTATACGATTAATACTCATCTCTGTTGTTGATGTTCGCCTCTCTCAGCCGAGCGTACACGAAGTGAGTCGAAAAAAAACCGTTGAACGAGTTGGACGCGGTCTGCGGTTCATATAAAAACAAACGCATTTGGACGCCAAATTTATTGTTAAAATTAATTCAACTAACTAAAAAAGTTAGTTTGACGAAATTTCTTTATTGCCGTTACATGTTTTAGTTGTGTTTTCATCATATTTCGCTTCTGTATCTGTTGCGCGTCGTGTTGCGGTTGTGTATGTGTGCGTGCGCCCCAATTGTGTCGGTGTGTGCGTTTGTCTATTGTGCATTAATAAATTATTAGTAAATCATAAATAAGTAAAGCTGAAAAGCAAACACGCAAATACTTGCGAAAATTATTATCGCCAGCTGCAGGCAAGTGTAAGTGCGAATTTAGTAGTGAAAGAAGAAGAGGAAGAAGAGAAGACGCCGCAACGGCGGGTAAACAAATGGCAGCGTTCTATGGAATGTGAAGGCAATGAAGAACAAGCAGAAGAAGAAGAAGAAAACGCAGCAGTAGAATTTAAAGAGTGGCCGTGTGTTTAGAAAAAACTTGTGTTCAATCAAAAATTGGTTTTTCATTTCAATATGAATCGAAAACAAAGTGCAAAAGGCAACAACAACAACTACGATATAAAAACTACTAAAGCGCCCAAAAAGAAAATCCGGTTTTACAACTTCTGAAGCAGACGTCGACGCCGACGTCGTCGTCGCAGTCGCATTCTGCGCTGCTGCTGCGGCTACTGCTGCCGCTGCGTCTCTCGTTTGTTTTCGGTCTTGCATAAATTTTGTAAGAAATTCCAATAAAATTTATACAAATTCGTGTTGTTGGGCAGCTTATGAAAACTGCAGGTGTGAATAAAACTTTCAATGAACCAACAAAACTAAAAAAATAGAAATAAAAAAGCAGCTGCGAGGCGTCAGCGCTGGCGTCGGCAGCGTTGTACAGGTGCCAGCAGCAGCAGCAGCAACAACAAAAACAGTTTTTCTATTTCTGTTATACACAAACAGCAACAAAAACAACAGCACATTGCGCTTGTGTTAAGCAGCTGCGGCGGCATCAGCATTGACGTCGGCGTCGACGTCGACAGCGGCAGCGGCCATTTGTGTATAAAAAGCAACATAAAATATTTATGAAAAAAAGTGAAATCAATAACAAAACAAAAAGTGAAAAAAGTCCACAGCACATTAAAACTATCTATTATTATATTCATTTTGTGCATAAAATGGATATAAAATGTATTCTCTCTTTTGCTTCTTTCCTCTTTTATTTTTTTTGGGTTTTTTTTCTGATGTAGCAGCTGCTGTTGTTTAACATTTAAAAATTTTTCCGTATTCGCCGCTGTAAATTGAATTTTAACATACCAACGTTTTGTTTGGGTTTTTTTTTTGGAGTGTTTCTTCAGTTCCGTGCTTATCTTATCCGCAACACGGCCGTTAAACGTTGTAGCAATAACTCAACGCCTCCCCCCAACCGGCCTCTCTCCCTATCTCCGGCACTGCAGTTATTTCCTTATCGGGAATTCCTATGGCTTGCCCGCAATTGCAACATAATTTTCCGCAATTTTCCTCTACTATATATTTTTTGTGTAATTTCTTTTGGAAAAATATTTTTATCTACTTACAAGTCTAGACGGAATTTTTTTTATATATTTTTATTTTTTGCCATTGCGCCTGTAATTGAAATTCACAAGCGTGAGTGTGCGAGTGGGATGGAAGCTGCATAGAGCGATTCTTTTGCCGTGCTCTTTCCCTCTCGCTCGCGACGCTTGTCTGCTGCGATTTTTACTACTTTCTGTTGTGCTTTTTCGTGTGCCCCTCCTCCCACCGAGCACAACCCCCGGGCAGCATCCAAATAGCAGAGCAACCCCCATAAAACGCATTTGTAGCCCCCCTCCTCCCACCCCTCTTTACTGTTGGCTTTTGTTGTTGTTCTTGCTTGTGGTGGGCGCAAATTTAAATTTATGTGAAAATTTCAACGCACTAACTGCGACGGCTTGTCGCCCTCGCTACCCCCGCGCGATGCCAAAAACTTTTGCAGCTTTGGACTTTGACATCGACGTCGACGTTGAAGTTGACGGCGACGCCAGCGCCAGTCCTCTCAGTTGTGTTTTGTCTGTCTGTTCAATGGTATTTTTTGTATGCTTCCCTTTTGTTGTTGTTATTGTCGTTGTTGTTTTAGTTGTATTCTTGCATGCAGACAAAGAAGGAGACAGCAGACAATGAGACTTAGCACAAATACTTCTGCCGCTGCCGCTGTTGCTGCCTCTGCCTACATTTGCAGCAGCAGCCGCCCTGTGAATTGTGTTCCATTAGCAGCAACCCCACACACACACATACATGCAATTACATACGTATGTTTGTGTGTGTGTGTGTTTATGTGCAATGTAGAAGCTCAGTGGCACAGTGGGTCCAGACTGATTTGCTTGTGAGGCTGACGATTTATATTATGGCTTGTATAGAAAAACTTATAATATTATTTAAACTAAATCTTTTCGAAGACTTCAGCAAACTTTCGACATCTTCCTTCTTTTACTATAATAATAGTTTCAAAAATGAGCCCAGGAAAAATATTTTCTTTTCACTTTATATTGAAGACATACGCACACTGTGCGTGACCCTGCTATTGCCTCTATGCTATTTATAAATCAGTGGAAATATCTGGTACATTTTAATCATAAAAACATAACACATACTACATATATCACTTTAGTTTTAATCAATAATACGCAGAGTAAAATGTGCTAGTTCTATTTAACATGTGGTCGTGTAAGGCCTGCAACAGTTGCTGATAAGAGGGTGCATTTTAATCGAACATTAATAATAAATACAATATGCCATCTAGCATGTATTTACTTAAGAGAGAGAGAGAGAGAGATCATGTGCAGTTGCAATTTTTTCACGCTCTTTTTTAACATCTGAGCGCCACTGTGCAAGGCCTGTGCGACAGCTGCTGGTCAGAGAGCATTCGGTCGGTGGCCGTTGCTGTTGTTGTTGCTGCTGCTGCTGCTGTTACTGTTACTCTTGTTACTGTTGTTGTTGTTGTTGTTGTTGATTCTGTAGAGTTTTTTAGCTGCTGCGGCGGCGGCTACTTTGGTTTCGCTGTTTGCTTTTGCTTCTGTTTCTGTTTCTGTTCGAGTCGCGTGTGCTGCAAATTGTTTGTTGCTGCCGAGTTTACATATGGCACAAAACGTGCTCGAGTAATGGAACAAAAGTTCTGCTTCTTCCTCTTTTTTTTTTTTTGCGTTTTTGTTTTGCACACTCCCCTCAAACACTGCGCAAGTTTTGCGCTTTTTGCTCTTAATTGGATTTGATTGGATTTTGGCGCTAGAGGCGCCAGCAACTCATAAACTCAAATACATGAGTGCATGTATGTATGCATGTGTGTTTGTGTGTGCAACATATGAATCTCGGCTGCTTTGATTGTTGCCAACAAATCGCATTAGTCAATCTCCACAAGCCAGGCCCCTCTTCTCCCTCCCCAAATGCTGTGGCGTTTCTCAGCGCTTTCCATTTTTGTTCGCGTAGCTGATCTTTTGTACAGCATTGTTGTTGTAGTTGCTGTTGTTTTTTGACTTTCCCAAAAGCTCGCCCCCAAATGGCGCTGCAGGCCCTCTGCCACACATTCGGCGTTGCCACAGTGCCATAAAAATCGCTAAACTACTGAACTGTAAAGGTTCATTGAACCTGCCACAGCGCCACAAGAGACCCACAGTCAGTCCATAGTATGCTGCCACAGTTGTTGTTGTTGTTGTTGCTGTTGCAGGCCCACTGCCTGCGCCGTTGTTGTATTTGCTTTTCACACACACTCGCTGCAAGCTTCTTTTTTTTTGTCTTTCTTTTATTCATATTTAATATGCACCGCTGATGTTGCAAGTTACAAGTTGCCAGCGTCATCGCTTTTCCGTTTCGCATGTGTGCAATATGCCGCCGCCACCAGAAGCGCTATCTCCCTCCCCCCTGTCGCCCAACGATGACGACGCACTTGCTAATTTAATCGTTCCTTTTCATGCATACCCTATAATTACGTGCTGTTGGAACTTTATGAACAGTTTTGCATAGCATTTAACATTAAGCACTTATGTTAGAATTGCATCGCACTGGCTGCGCTGTTAGCCTAACAGCCAGGCGTTGCAAAAATTGCACTCAATTTTAACATTGAGTGCAGATCGTAACTGTAACTGTGCATTTGGCAATCAACATGAATTCAATTTGGAAAGGTTATTTCTTAAACACTTAACAGTTGCTTAACAGCGAATGCTGTTGTCTACAACAGCTGCGCTTTTATGCTGCATACGCTGCTTGGACTGAATGGACACTCGTTAAATTAAATGTTGTAGCATTTTCTCTGCCATAAAACGTTTTATATTGTAATTGCCGCTGTTGCTGCTGCTGTTGATGTGTATGCCTATTGTATTAGCTTGTGCTGTTGTCTGTGGCTGCTCCACATTTGCGCCAATTCTTTGATTCTTTTGGCGTGGCCGCGTTTTTAATACGCTGACGCGCGCCAAATCCCAAAGCCAAATAGCCCAAAACTAACGAGCCAAAGTCAGCGCACTGGAACACTTAACAGTAACAGCAATAACAGCAACAACAACATCATTAACAATAACAGTTACAGTTAGCCAAGTTTCGCCTATCGTTGAGGTTTTTTTTGGGTTCGTTTTTTTCTCTGCGCCCATTGGGCAGTTACGCATTTATATATATACAAGTATATATCTAGTTAGAGATCTGTTTGTGTTTAATTTTAAAGATCATTAAATAAACATGCGTTTCACTTGCTGTAATTGTTGTTGTTGTTGTCTAGGAGCGAACACGCAGATTGAATTTTAAAATGTTGTCCGCGCTCGTGCGAGAGCCCTTTGGTCTGTTCTGTATGTAGCTTTGTATGCCCTAGTATAGGGTATTTTAACTTTAACAGCCCATAGTTACTTATCTTAAGCACTTTCTGAGTTAACCACTAAATATCGTCCAAAAGTAGAGTTTTACACTACCTAACTATATCAATCAGCTCCCTCGTGGAAAAAATAGAAATATATCTCTTATTTGTGGCATCTTTGCAAAAAGGGTATCTTAAATGCGGCACCTTAAATGCAACTAGTTTTCTGGTTTCTCTTATTTTTTGGGCTCGTTTTGTGTATCCTGTCATCATCATCATCTTCTGCCTCTCAACCCCGTGCCGCTGTTACCTGTGCGCTTTGCGTGCCTCTGTCTGCGTTCGCTTTTGTGTATCTGTATCTGTATCTGCACTTAAACCAAGTTGAAATCTACCTGACCTGTTATCCACTGTGCTGCCTCGCCCGCTCTCTCTCCCTCGCTCTTGCTCTTCCTTTTCCTTTGCCATATATACACGAGAGTATTCTAATAAGATTTGTCTGGCCAGGAGCACCTGGCAACTGGTTTGCCGCTGTTAAAGGATTGCGAGGGCAGACTTCTCTTGTCTGTTGGCAAAGAAATGTTCAAGTTGACTTAGTTCGGAATGCGTAACGCAAAAGGTAAACATACCAAAAGAAATAAGTCCGTTTACTGTTTGGACTGGAAATGTCTATCTCAACGCCATTTCACACATCGTTTCACAAGTTTTTAAAGCATTCTAAATTTAAAACTACATTTCGTACAATCATTATATTTTATTTCAAAGTTGATAATAAAATAGGATGGCATTCTTTTTCTGCCAATTACATTTAAGATTCTTGTAAACTGTTACAAGCACTTAACTGTACAGAATGTTAACTAAAGTTTACAGACGACTTAACATAAATGATCTGAAGTTAACGAAAGTTCTTTAATCTGTTTTCACTGCATTCTCCTGCTCTTTTAATAACACTTACTCCATTTCCTTGCAGGCACTTTTATTTACACTCTGCCCTCCCCCCACATACGTAACAGCGCCTCTTTATTTCCTTCTTTCGACAGATTTCATTGCCACAATTTGTTACATTTCACTTTGCTTTTGTTTTGAGTCAAGTGGCCCGCTGGCATATTGCATATGGTTGCAATTTCCCTGTCTCAGCACTGGATGTAGACACCGAATTCCCCGGCTCTTGACTCTCAGCTCCATTTCCACTTTTATTTCCATTTGCGACTTCATCTCCGATGTCGGCGTCCGACTGCAACGCAGCTGGCAGCGTTGTTGCACTTGATGATGACAAGTGGCTGTTGTTGTGGTTGCTGCCTCTGCTTTTACTCTACCCTGCCCCTGCTCCTGTCCCTGCCCCAAACTCTTCACGGGGATGTGCATGTGCCGCTAAGGTTAATTTTCATCAAATTGAAAACATTTTGCTGAATGACACTTAAAATTGAGATTCTTTTCTTGTCCGCGCTGTCGCTTTATTTCTTCTTCTGTTAATGCTTTTGTGCTTATTCATTTGGTGAAATCGTTTAAAAAAGTCACGCCCAAACTCCAATTCAAGAATTCAACGTACAGACAATCCAAGTGACTATAAAACTCAGCCTTAATTCACAAATTGGCAAGGCGCAGCCAACTTTACTGTCTGGCAACGCCACGTTTTTGTAGCTGTAACCAATAACAGTTATTCTTAACAAAAAGTGCTCTAATCCGAAAAGGAATTTCATAGTTGCTAAATGGAATTTGCAATTTTAACGGGTACAACAGTAATTGTATATTTGAACAGCTGATAGTTGGTTGAGCGTTGCCACCTTGTGCATTTTCTCGTATATTTTATAAATCCTGCACAGGGAAATTTTAAAATTTCCCCAGCGAAATAGTTCATCTGTTCTTTAGCCCAAGTGTTGCCTTTGCAAAAATTGTCAAAAACTTTGTAGTAAATGAAATTGTAATATCTTGTTAATTAGTTGCACGATTAACCCAGCTTTTAAAGTTCAAAGTAAAAAGCGAATAGAAAACACACAAAAAAAAATATAAATACAAGGGTGTCAAGTCTTAATGAGACGTAGTTGTTGTTGTTGCCTCTGGGACATGTTCATAAATGTGTCTTTTAATTGCCTAATTGCAGTGTGATTAACAAAAAGTGAAACCATAAAAGCAAAGAAAGTGAAACGAAACCGATTGTGACTTAAAAACTAAATGAGCAACCCACGCGCATGTTGCAGGTGTCGCGTGTTTGTGGCTTATTAAAACATAAAAAAAGAAATAATAACAACCACATTTAAATACATGATGGCAACTGTAGAACGTAGCTGAGTACTTGGCATACTAATTGGAACATGTCGCTGCGCAGCAACAAGTTGCAAAGCCAACAATCAACGGGTGGCAACGCCGGCAACAACATGTCGTACCAGCAGCAGCAGCAACAGTTGCTCGCACAGCTGCAGCAGCAGCACAAGTTCCAGGCACAGCAGCAACATCAACAGCAACATCAGCAGCAGCAGCAGATGCAACAGCAGCTCTCCAATGGAGCTGGCTCCAAGTACATGAACAGCAATACGAGTCGCAACAATCTGGCCACACTGGTCGCTGCCATCAACGGGCACGATCAGTCGGATGGGCCGCCAGGCTCGCACAGCAGCGGCTATCAGCTGTCGCCGGCGGCTGCCACACGCGTCACGCACGCCCCACCGCTGGGTCCGCCCTCCTACAGTGCTGCCACCGCACAGCAGCCCGCGTTCGCCTACTTCAGCCAGCAGCAACATGCGGCGATTGCCTATCAGCAACAGCAGCAACAGCAGCAACAACATCAACAACAGCAGCAGCAACAACAACAGCTGTCGCTGCCTCCGCCGGATCTCACGGATGGCATAGATCATCATCCGGGCTCGTTGTCGCCGCCGGATTCACCCAATGCCGCCTCGGCCGCTGAGCTGGAGCAGCAGCTGTGCGTTGTGGCCAAGATGCAGAAATCGGTGACAATAACTGTGACGCCGCAGCGCAGCAATTCCATGGATTTTCTCAACTTTGAGGAAAAGCGTCAGCTAATTGCCTCCTCGTTGTCTCTCTCCGATATTTTGCACAGCCAAAATCAAGGCAATGCCAAGGAATCGAATTCAATCAATACGAATGGTGGTAAGTTTTCATAATTTTTGGGCTGGCAACTCTGTAGATTGCAGAAATGTTAAATTACATAATTGAGTATGTTATTAAGTTATGTATGTTATTACAACGTTGTTATCATAACATGCATTATCAGTTATTACAAAAACATAGTTTTTTATGTTATCATCGTAGCATTGCTTATTATGTTATTACAGTAACATAGTTTATCATGTTATTTAAATAACATGCGAATGTTATAGAAGAGAAAGGGTATATGATTGGGTGAAATCTATTGAAAAATTTAGAAAATTAGCAATAATTTAATTAAAGTAAATTGTAAATCTCACTTTGACATACTATTTTAACCTAATGGAATTGAGTTACAAGGAAAAAACAACGTAACGAACACTTCATGACATAAACCCCACGAGTTAAACCTGTAAAATGAAAAAAAAAAATGCATAAAATATATAATATATTACCCGAGCGCACTCGATAATTGAAATAATGTATTTGACGCTTTCAAGCTTAAATACTGACACTTGAGAAATTTTCTGTTTAAGTATTCTGTTCTTAAACGAAAAGCTCTAGAAATGGGCAAAAATGAGAGAATATTAACATTTATGGAAAAATTACTTTTGAACTATGGAAGCGAACCGTTTAATTGTTCGTAGTACTATATGATAATATAAAAAATAGTGTAATTTATATACATAACTGATCTTACAGGAATCTTCTGAGTCCAACACTAAAAGTTTTATATACATTTTATAACCGCACAAGTTCTCGAGATTAAGCTTCTGATATCTTATCGCTAGCCATCAAACAAATTCCTTTACGTTCTTTATACTTCGTTTTTTGTTGGTATGTTGTTTTTGTTAGAAAAACAATTTCAATTCGCTGCCCATTTCCATTAAATTTCCTCCATTAATCGCTTCGATTGGTTGAGCTTCGAGTTTGAAGTTAAATGAAATAAAATGAAATGAAAATAACTTTAAAAACATTTTGCGTTATTCGCTGCCATTGTTTCAATTTATTTCTCCACTTTTTTTTTATCGATTGTCTGTTAACAAAAACTTTTTTCTATTTGTTTTTACACATCTGCCACAGAACCGGAAATGTTTTTGTTCTTTTGTTGCCCAGCGACGTGCCCCAAAATGGTTCACTGCACTTGAATGTAACCGTATGAATAGCTGCGAAAGGGGGAGCGGCGCGGGGGGATTGGCTAAAAAATGGGGCTTGGCTTGTTTTGGAGTTTGCGGAATTGGGTCCAAGCAGCGACAGAAGAGTTGTCAACGCTTTTGCTGTTGTCCACAGCAAACAATATGAATTGGTGGGGGAGGGGAGGGTTAAGTGGAGGGAGCGAAAGCGGATTACATTGTGCAAATTGTTGTAGGTGCTGAAGTGGGTTAGCCAACACTAGCTTTTAGGCTGATGGAAATTGAACAACACTAGCAAAACCACTTAAGCTTGTCAAATAACTGTTAATCCCAGATATGCATCTTAGTTTTTTCGTTTGCTTTTGATTTGGGCAAATCATTTGCATTTATCATTTTTTTATTTTTCGAATTGGCTTAATTTTTATTTCTTCACACCAAACAAACTTAACCCATGTTCGATTAAAGCTGCCCGCCCCACTCCTCTGTCCACTCTTTGTAGACTTTTTATGAGGCCGTCAGTCAAGTTTACCGCCCGCTCCCGCTGTTGATGATGCTCATCAGTTGATAGACTGAGTCATAATCGTCATCATCAATCAAAGACAACAAGAAATTGGAGCTGCGAGCGTAAACAGCGAGTGCTTGGCGAGCGAGCGAGATGGCATGAGTGAATTCTCCAAAATAAACTTATCGCATAGAGCAGAAGGCGTAGATATATTTTGGCGATCAAACGGAGACTTCTTTTTGTGTTTGTCTTCCACAACAGCTCCTCGGCTCGGTTCGGCTTTCAGTCGGTGTAGAGAGCCGAAGTGCGGCGTGCCTGAGCCTGATTGCATTTTCAGGCACATTCCGAATGACAACAAAAGCAACGCGAGATGCGCGTCTATTTTTAGAACTTGCAGAACGGAGCGATGTCTGCTTGTTTATTGTTGTTGCATTTTATTGGTATTTAAATTTCTGTTGGCAATTAAAATGCTCGTATTTCAAGTTCAAGTGAGAGAGCACGTGTCGAAGAGAGCGGACGGATTGACAGAGAGATGGAGAGAGAGGGAGAGAGCTCGCGATACGAAATCGTTGGCATGGATAATTAATTCAGTGTGTCAAAGTGAGTCGATGAATCATTTAATTTGTTGTCGCTGTCGCCGTCAACGTCAACGTAAACGTCTCAGTCAACAGATTGTTGTTGTTGTTGTTTTTGCTGTTGTTTGCTTTGCCTTGCCTTTGTTAACCGCATTCCGCGCATTTTTTGCAATAATTTACGAAATTGCAGCGCATTTGTAGCTAAAACAAGATTTGTGCAAAAGCTCATGTGAAGTGTTTTTTGTACCTAATCTCTGTTAAGTACAAGCGAAAAAGGCGCGCAATATCGAAAGCAACAACCTGTAGAATTTGTTATTTAGCCGCAAGCCGCGTCGTAAATGGCGATGCGGCACCTGAGTTAAATTGGGTGTGTTTCCCACTCAGCTCAGCGGAAATTCCATAAATGGTCTGGGCGCTTCCCACTCTATTTTGAAGAAGAACCTCAAGTAAAGTTCATTGCTTTGCCAAATTTAAAGCACAGTGAGTTGTTAGAAAAACATTTACGGATGTGGGGGCAAAGCAGAAACGAATAATCAATTGCAAAAGCAAATCACTCTAACCGAAACTTGTGTATGTTGGCCTGAGTCTGAATGCTTTTTATACTCTTGTAGAGGGTATTATTATCTTATGAATTCTGTAATGCATAGAAGAAAACATCCCCGACCCCATAAGGTGTATATATTCTAGATCAGCCAAATTAATATAGCCATGTTCGACTGTCCGTCTGTCTTTTTCTATGCGAACTATTCTCAGATTTAGTTCTATTCTTACACATGTGCATAGCTATAAGGCTACAAAGTGTATTGAATCTTCGGCGTGCCAAAGATATCCATATATCCTCGCATTAAATCATTTTCTAGCTCTGCTATTGCAGCCCATAATTCTCCATTTATCGCTTCCGTTTCAATCAACCATTTATTGCTTTGGGAAACTTTCCCACTCCGCCTTTCAAACCAAAATCAATTGTTCTAATTTCCGCTTATAAATAAAATAGAATGCGTCGTCCAGTGTGGGGGCGGGGTGGGGGGCGTTTACAGCTACGAATCGCCTTCAACTTGGTTCCCATGACTTTGCTGGGAAGTTTATTTACACATAGATATACATACATATATAATTTGTATCAATAGAAAACAATTCACATCTGGCAATTATTTTGCAACGAAAAACTAAACGAAAAATTGCCTTCAATAAAACATAAATCGAACCGAATGCGCCCTCTCTCTCGCACTCTCTCTCTCTGTCTCGTTCTGGTTCTATTTGTTGCATTTTACCTTCATGCCGCCAACGTTTTTCAATTTCGTTTAAATTGCAAGCATCAAACGCTTTTTTTCCTTTTCATTTCCCCTTCATTTTTTTTTGCTAGCTCTGAAACTGCCGTCAATTCCCGATTGGCGCACTCAACTTCAAACGGTCTTCTCTTTTTTTTCGCCCGCTGCGAAATCGATAATTTTTATTTAGCCTATCGATAAATTGCGCCAGCCCCGCCTACCCCCTGCCCCCACACATATAAAACGCTCAATGTCAGCGCCGCCCATTTGACGTTCACTTAAATTTCATTTGATGGCAGCGTCGAGAATTTTTCCTTCGCCTCTTTCAATTTGCACGCCAATTTCGCTGTCGGCTATTCTGTCAGTTCTTCTGCTGCTTCTGCTGCGATTAGAGCTGTAAAAATACGGTAGCTATCAAATCAACAGAGTTGAAAGAGGTAGGAGAAGGGCAGGAGAAGAAGAGGGTGAGGCAGAAGATGACCGGCTGCAGTAGTCATAAAGCCAGATAGATACTCAAAACATTCACGAGAGCTTTGCACAGTAGCTCGGGCTGAAAACAAAACAGGCTACAAATATGGAATGCAATAACAACAACAACAACAACAACAACAACAACAACAACAACGAGAATAATACTAACGAGAAAGTGCGGATATATTTGGCACGCCGAAGTTTGAATACCCTTGCAGACATTTGTTTCAGATAAGTGAGAATTATAAAGCTTGTAAATGCTGAATTTGATCAAAATATCTGGGAATATTTTGCCATACAAAAACTCATTTTTTGAACGATTCTTTCAAAAGAACTATATAATATTGAAGTGTGATCTGGATAAAATTTGACCCATAGGTAACCAGCATAGTTTAACACGGAAATGCCAAGTTTGGTCCAGATATTTTGATAAACATAAAAGTTCTCCATACTTATCGACTGTTCGTTCTTATGGCAGCTATATAATATTGCGGCCTGATCCGACCGATTCCGGCATATGTTCTGCTCGCAATATAAAGGCGGATCTATAAAATGTTTCCAAGACGATATCTACAAAATTGAGAGACTAGTTCCCATAGAAACAGACGGACGGAGAACGGACAACAAAGATATGGTTATATTAACTCGTCTGTTGATGCAGATCTAGCATATATATACTGTATCGAGTCGAAGATGTCTCCTTCTATGCCCAACACATTATTATACACTCTAAAAGCATATACATATAATAACAACAGCAACAACAATGTTGATGCCCGCAACAACTTTAAATTTAAAACTGACATGTGAAGAGGCCCCCAAAGGCGTTGGGGGTCGGCGCAGGTGCAGAGACGCTTGTCGTGTGGCGACACAAAAGGCTGGCCAGAGGATAATTTCTTGTGGGTGGGGCCGTGTTATTTATATCTTGAAAGAAGCGACAAGGCTGCGCATAGCCGGCAGGCCTGTCGATTGGGCTGGACTGTCTGCCTGGTCTGCCCGCTGCCGTCCTCCCGGCCGACCGAACGGTGCGGTTAGTTGGCGGCTCTTCGGCTCT